TTTTTTTTTTTTGTATTTGGGTGGGTAAACATGCCACTAACTTGTACACCTTCTCTCTATCTTGCTTATCTTTCCTGCATGGCCAGTTTTGTTGCTATGGCTTTTCTCTTCTGGGCACTGGAGATGTAGTTTTAAGTTAAAATGGGATTTCTTGCTGCATTGGCAACCGTTGCGAAATTTGGATGTCTTGTTTTTTGTTTTTGTTTTTTCATTTTACTGGCTCTTGTGGTGTGAATCCTCCTAAATTCCTTTCTGATGGAATACATGGCTCATCTTCAGTTTGTCTCACTGAAAAATAAAATCTCATGTGCTGACCACCCCATGCTGAACAGAAAACCTCCACAAACAGAGATGCATATACGTGCTATCATCCTCGGAAGCAATCAGAAAAGGCTGTCATCCCTGGACAAGATGGCATAACTGCCTCAAGGGGCCCTTACATTTTATTTTTATTATCTTTGATTTTTGATTTCACTGTTTTTGGCCCAATAGAAATTAAAGCGAATGAATTATTTTTTTTTTTTTCTCTTTTAGAAATCTGTATAATCATCATTTGTTTTTAATTTTTGACGTCGTACCTTAAGGTCCTTTCCAAAGGCCCCTCTTCCTTCAGCTGAGTCTGTGTGCAGTGTGTGACTGGAGTCTAAGTGAACAGCACCCTGGAGCAAAACCGGGGCTGGATGTGGTTGGATGTCATTTAGAGGATATTCATCTGATCCAAATAAACCGCTGAAATTGCTGTATCTGTCTGTAAAGTCGAGGGAACACCAGAGGAGTGTTTTTCCTCCTGATTTAATAAAAATTAGAAAAAACCCTATTCTGAATCAAGTCGATGGCAGTCGGTTACGTCATGTATGAAATACTTTACCTGGCTTGTAACTGACCAGAACTGTGATGTACAGATGATGTATTATTAAATCTGAAGCGAGTAATGCAATGATATTAGGATACAGTTTTTGTATTATTTTTTTTTCTTGTATAAGGTTATTGATGGCTATTGTTTAGCCTATAGTTCATTCTGTGTTATTTAAATTCTAATATATGAATCATATTTGGATTGAAGTCATGTTCAGGGGCCATGTTGTGTATGTATTGAGATGTAAAGCCTTTGAATGTGAATAATTATTGTAAACTATAATATTTTACAGCTTTATTCTTACTATATCATACATTTTCTATTTGCTCAGTGACTTAATCATATTCTGATAATTTAATGAATCTGTTCATTCTCTCTCTGATTATTTGTGCGCTAGGTCAGTAGATGTTGAATGATGAATTTTCCACTTAATGCTTGGTAGTCCAGTAATTAAAGCATGTAGGGATGTAGGCATTCAAAAGAAAGCCGTGTGTCTTGTCTTCTGTTTAACAACCTCCACCATGACACTGAACAGAGTTCAGTAGTGATGACGTCTGACATTTCTGCAGCATGTAAATAAAGTACCGACCCATTATCTGTGCCCTGGTGTTGTGAAAGTCCATTTAAAACTCACAGGAGAATTTGTAAATCTGTCTGGTTTAAGAGGCGGAGGAGCGTTCCTTGTGTTGCAGTCCCTATATAGGTTTGTTTTAAAGAGCTTTAAGGATGTCACTTGTTGATGTTTAGATCTGATTCACTTGGCCTGTTCTGTTTTTTTGAGTTCCCCCACATTAGGCATCAGAAGACCAAACTGGAAAGTATGGTCTCACCCAAACCTGAGGTGTTAACCTCTTCCTGATGAGAATATAAGGGAAGTTTTGCACATTTCAGTCACAAAGTTAAAGGTCTTGTACATAGACAACACTATGCCTAAATAAGAGAACGAACAAACTAATCTGATATATCTGCTCAAAACAAATGAAACTAAACAAGGGGGTGTTTAACCTTAAATAAGAGCTATTTAGGGTTTCAGCATTAGTGTCCTACTGGGAGTTTGTTTCAGATAAATGATGCCTATCTGAGCTAACATTGCTTCCCCTTATTTGATTCTAGTAAACGAGTAAACTTAAGCCTGAAGACAGGGGAGGTTAAGCTGTTGATAAACTGAAAAGTCTGCAATGTATTTTAATGCAAAGCCCTTAACAAAAGTAGTTTAAAGTCTATTCTCTGAGATTCGGGTGCAACTGAAAGGATTTTAAAATTTGGCCGATGTTCTCCACTGACTCAGTTTTGGTGAGGATGTAGGCAGCAGCATTCTGCATCATCCGCAGCCATATTTTAGGCAGAGCTGTGAGGACATCATTGCAGTAATCATGTCTATTAAAGATACATGTCTAAATACTTACTTAATACTACTTAAATATCCTATATGTTTTTTCAGGTGAAAGAAGACTGACTTTGTTACTCTTTATATCTGCCTTTGAAGGTTCAGGTTTTAAGACTGTTGATCTCTCACTTCATTAACTGACACTGGATGTACTAACTTTAAAATGTCCCTAATTTGGTCCAATATATTACATTTTGTTTTTATTCAGCTGAAGTAAATTTTAGCACATTGATGCGCTTATTTCTTTGTTCATTTGACCAGCGCTGGATTGGGTCCATAGTCACCTATTGACAAAATGTCACCAGGTGCATTGTTATGATAACTTATATGTGTTATAACTTGGGCTAAAGAGGAGCCTGTACCAAATAGGAAGCACCGCATGTAGCCGATGTAAAGTTACTCAAGACATAAATAAAAGTCTCCTTCAAAAAAAGACGAATCACTCAAGCTCTGTATGAGAAAGGTCAACCCAGTTTCACAGGCACTCCTGACAAAAAGGAGGAGTTCATTCTTTAAGATCAATCAGGCACAATGAAAGCCAAAAACAACATTTTAGTTGTTTATTATTTCTTCCTAGGTTTTGCAGTATTTGGCAGAATTTTGTCAAAATGTGTTCTGACTGGACACAACGCTGCTACTGGACGTGATATACTATTTTACAGATTATCTTTCTAGTCCTCTGAATTTACTCACTAAATAACCAAATTGGTTACAGGCCCTGGTAGAGTGGGGTTCAGATGCTACAGTTACAGGAGGGTTTGTTAACCTGTCGACCATTGCAAATGAGGCACAAGCATCATTAATGCTTTGTAAATGAGCTGGTGGAGCGTTTCTGCATGGAGATTGATGGGAACAATTTAATCAATTATGTATGAAGTTCTACAGTTAAGGCTATAGACCAGCTAATCTACTGAGTTACATGGCGAAGTGTAAGAAGAAGTTAAATCTTGTGTGAAGGTTTCAGTAGCACTGTTATAAAAAAAAGTTTTCTTTAAGCGTTTCTTTGGCTAATTCAGTTGGTGGGAATTCTACTCTTAAAAATAGAAGGAAATAGATATCAGTATGTGTGTAAGGAACTGAGATAGTGGACTCTTTAAAGTACCCGGTTGTTCAGGCAGAACAAAAACTGATTGTCTTTAAAGGAAGGGTCAGAATCTACCAGCTAAGGTGTCTGAGATCTTTAGGAAGGGGCGCTTCTTTTTCTCTGTTAGAATGAGCCGTCTTCCATGTTGCATTTTGTTGGAGCAGAAGATCATCTACAACAAAGAGGGTGGGATAAACTCATCAGGAAAGCAAACTCTGTCCTATGTAACATCAACCCAGAGGAGCTGGTTGGAGTCAAGAGGACTCTGGCAAAAATAACATCACTAATGGGAGTGGTGGTCTAATGGTTAGAAAGCAAGGCATCTACATCTTAGAAAAGCCACAAGTTTGCTGGTTAATGGCTTACTCTGGCTCCCAGATCATGACCCTTAACCCTGCAATGCTCCCTGCATGTAGCAACCTGCTCACTGCTCTCATAAGAAATGCAGAGCTAACTTTTTGTTGTTGTGCACAAATGCAAAATATATACTGTTCTTTTATTTTTTTGTTCACAAATGAGAGGAAGATGGAGCGGGAGATTGATAGGCGGATTGGTGCATTGTCTGCTGTGAAGCGTGCACTGTACCGGTCTGTTGTGGTGAAGAGAGAGCTAAGCCAAAAAGCAAAGCTCTTGATTTATCGGTCAATCTACGTTCCTACCCTCATTTATGGTCTTGAGCTTTGGGTCATGATTGAAAGAACGAGATCCCGGATACAAGCGGCTGAAATGAGTTATCTCCGTAGTGTTTCTGGGCTCTCCCTTAGAGTTAGGGGGAGGAGCTCAGTCATCCGGGGTGGACTCAGAGTAGAGCCGCTGCTCCTCAACTTCGAGAGGAGCCAGTCCTGGTGAGGTGTTCCAGGCACATCCCACCGGGAGGAGGCCCAGGGGGAGACCCAGGACACGCTGGAGGGACTATGTTTATCGGCTGGCCTGGGAGCGGCTTGGGATTCCCCCGGAGGAGCTGGACCAAGAGGCTGGGGAGAGGGACGCCTGGGCCTCCCTACTGAAGCTGCTACCCCCGCAATCAGACCCTGGATAAGAAGATGGATGGATGGATGGATGGATGGATGGATGGATGGATGGATGGATGGATGGATGGATGGATGGATGGATGGATGGGAGAGCTCCCTCTAATGACAGACAACTGCATCCTAGGTGCACAAAGGAGCACCGTTGCACATCCTTCCTCCAAGCAGCGAGTTTGCAATACCTGCTCCCATAAAACCATACTTCCAGGCTGTCTTGCAGTTCTTTCATTGTTGTAAATTGTCTTTTTGTGTTAATTAACAAAACATTCAGGGTTGCACTTGCACACTTTCTTTAGATTGTTGATCATGCTATTTTTAGTAACAAAGAGTCATACAATATTTTTTCTAATGTTAAAAAATTGCTTTTACTGCACAGCCTTGTATCCACACTTTTTATTGCAATACTTTTTGTTTTAATACATTTTTCAATTTGCTGCTCCTGAAATCCCACTTTGAAGGATAGTTGTTAAAGGATATCTTCTGTCCTATTTTTTAATTAATTAATTTGTTATATTTTAGAGGATGTGGAAGGGTTCAATCTGTTTTCTTTTGTTATTATTATGTCTTAAAAGCAATGTAAACATGAATGCGTGTGTGTTTAAATAGGCTGAGGATGGAGCTGGGTAGGAGTGGCCGTAGAGTTTGCAGCCAGTTTTGCAGGAGTCGTGGACTGGCTCGCAGTCGGTGGCTGCGGCAGCGTCGATATTTCCTGTCAGCAGCTCAGAGCAGAGCCGAAGCGAGGGCGGAGGAGGCGAGGCGTGGAGCGGAGCGGAGAGGAGAGGGATGGCAGAGAACAGCTCCGAGACAAGCGGCTCCGTTCCTCGGAGATGTCCGACCCATTCTTCCCCGGGGGAGAGAAATGCTTCAGCGGGTGTCGGAGCTTCCAAGTGGATACGGTTAAATGTTGGGGGGACGTATTTTTTAACGACAAGACAGACGCTGTGTCGAGACCCCAAATCATTTCTGTACAGACTTAGCCAAGCGGATCCCGAACTCGACTCGGACAAGGTACATGCTAAGCTAGCTCGGCTAGATAGGGCTGTGGTTCAGAAAGCCGTTTGCTTTGCAGTAAACGTGTCTTTATTTGCTATATAAATTTTGTAACGACATTAAAGTAATTTGCACTTTTTATTTCACGTTAATTAAGACAAAGTTACTGTTAAGGTGATGCTTAATCGAATTGTTGGTACTAGCTAGCATTAGCCGTTAGCTAGATTCCGACAGTCACCACATGACATAATGCTGCTAGCTTGCTCTTTGTTGTTTGCTTTTTCTCACCAAAAGTTATAACGTCTCGCTTTTTGATATCTAAAAAATTTGAATTCCTATTTCCAATTGTTTGAGTGTTTAATGTTTCATCCAGCCTCTATTTTAAAATAAGCTTCGTCGGATAAAAGTTTTCTCGGTCGGTAACATCTAGGTGTCAAATAGTGACAGTATAATTTGACCTATTTTTTTTTTAATCACCAGATTAATATTAATCTATTAAAATAAAACACTCCCAGAAAGTTTTAGATGTATCCCCCAGCTATTGTAGTGATATCTTTTGGATGTTATATGCAGTCATATGAATGATTGCCTAATTGAGTAATAAATAATGAGCTTTTGGCTCAGGTTGCTCTTTGGGGAAGTCATCATCTATTTTACAGCTTTCAACAATTTCAATCCTATTTATATCCAAATTAAAATGAACCCTGTATATCCTGTCTTATATAAAATATTTTACAAATTAAGAACCTTTTTTTCTGTTTGGAATAACAGAGATTTTGCAGTATTTCTCACCACTGAGCAGATGTCTGGTTTTAAAACTACACAATAAATAAAGGTTCTCTGGCCGGTATTGTTTTATTATGACATATTATTAAAAAATAAAAAAATAATTTAGTAAACTTTTGATAATCCCATATAATCTTAGGAAGTTTAATCTTTGAGGTATAATTTAAGATGATCTTAGAAAAGCCTCATGAATACACTTTATTGAAACTTTACATATCTATCAATTCTTTAAATATTGCAAAATTATTACATTTACCATTAGGCTCAAATAGCTCGATCCAGATTTAGGTACTGTAGTGTTTAAGATGAGACATTTGTTAAATTACATCTATTAAAGACGATATATATATTTTTTCATGTATTTGAGTTAAGTTAATGTTTTATAATTCAGTAGTGATGTTCTATTGATTGCCTAATGATTGCAGTATATAATTTCTTTAGATTTGAATTTAAGTAGGGGTGTAAATAATCGTTTTGTATTGATGCATCGATCCCACAGCCGACGATCCGATGCATCGACGCGTCTGCAAGAGTATCGATTCATGTGTTTTGTTTTGTTTTTCTTCCGTTCTGTTTTTATCCATTTTCTCCTAGACGTAATTCTGAATCCTGTGGTGTAGGGGCGCTAAACCAATTTTGCCTTCCTACCTCGCTTCCTTTAGCCATTACCCTCTTTCCGCTTGCACACACACACTCGCTTAAACACAGAGGCGTTATTATTTTTCAGTGAATGAGGTTTTCATAGGCGTAGGTAGAGTACAACTTTGCTACTTCTTTTTCTTTTATTTGCTGTTGTTTCTCAAATAAAATGCATAACCATATTATAGCTTTCATTGATTTATTTTAAATTTGAAACATTGTCTAGCCTGTAAGGTATATAAAACAAATTAATAAAAAATAAATTAACCAATTAATTGAATCGTATCGTGGTTTATCGAAAATAAAATCAAAAATAAAATCGAATCGTTGGGTGAGAAAATTGGTACTGAATCAAATTGCCACGATGGGTGTGATTTACATCCCTAAATTTAAGTGGGTCAAAGGTATTTCAAAGTGTATTAAAAACAGTGCAGAGGATCTGATGTTCAGTCTCAAACACAAAGTTGCAAGTTGGATTTCAACTTCAGCAGTATACAGGGTGGCCTATATAAGAAATGTGGAGGTGTTTATCCCCTCAACCCTGTCTGACCCAAATGCGAGAGAAGCCTCTCTCTTTTTAAGCAATTCTCTGGTTAAACGGTCCAGTATGTGAGTTTTTAAGGAACTTGTTTGGTTACTGGTATGTGATCTATTGTCTGTTGTTATTGTTCATGTTTGTGCCTTGGGATTTATTCTTTTCATCTGTTTGCATATTCTTATCTTCACTTTTGCTCTCTAATATGCTAAGCAGAGATAACGCCTCATCCGGTATTTTCATGCAAATATCTAAATCCCTAAATAATCAGCTTGGGGTTTTTATTCTGTTTATCCTCCGTGAGTGATGGATCAGTCCACTTCAATCTCTCGTCTTAAGTGTACATCACACTCTCCAGCCAACATGGTCGGTTATTACTGGATATTATACCTCTTGCATCTGTGTCTCAGTTTATATCCCCTTATTTTTGGCTCAGCAGAGAGGAGTGTCCTGGCTTTGAATGGGCTGAAATGCACAGGGTGAGATGAGAGCTTAGTTTTTTTTTTTTTTCCCAGTAAAGGAGGCCAGTGGTTCATTTCTCAGTCACGCAGGCTGACGTGCTTCAGGATAACTCAGGAGAAGACCTGCATTATTCATGTTGTTGACTGGAGCTTGTTTTGCACTTTGGGGTAGACCAGGGAGAAAGTGGAGGAAGTGCTGTCATCTGTATAGCCATAACAGTCCAGAGGTCTAGTTTTAAGAAATCACACTTAGACTCTTTTTCTTTATTCACCCTATTGATAACCATTGGTCACTTCTTACTTGGTGATCAAATGTAGACCTAACGAGGCTTTTTATTGCTCACACTGGTCCCCGCTTGCAAGCGTCTCAGCTCGATGCCACCAGAGTGAAGACCCGGCTCACTTTGCTCTAAGAGCTCTATAAATTTTTCACGTGGCCCTTCACAAAGGATTCATGTTCCTTCACCATCTTTTCATATTTAAATCCATTTGCTGCTCAAAGGAGGTACTTTCTCCAGCATATATGACCAAAAATTTGGCCGCGTTTATTGCCTGATGCACTTTTTTCCGTCATGCCCTGGAACGCTGCAGGAGGCAGCGTAAATATTTAACGGCAGTATCATCTCCCTCTGCGCTGTCTTCTTGCAGTAAGTGCTCAACAGGACTCTGCGGCAGAGGCTGATGGGAAATTAGGTTATTCTGATATCCAATTGCATCACCTTTTATCTAAAGCAAGTTAACTTTTCAGCTCGTATATTGCAGTGTGTCGTTTTAAATTGGCCATTAAATGTCAGTGTGTTGTCAAAGCCCTCTTTCATGGGCTGTTTTTAATAATTTGGGCACTAAGAAAGAGCTGTTCAGCCAGCATCCGAGATGCACCCATCAGACTTTGTGGCCAATTTCCAATTGCTTGGTTTCTTAAAGCTCCGACACCGCCAGTCCTATTTGATCAGATTTTGATTGCAAGAGTAGTAAAACCCATGAATTCTGCTGGAACACATTCAGAAGGACAAGATTGAACGATCAAGTTCTGATTTCCACTGACTTGGATTAACTTCACATTAAGGCTAGGAAAAAAAAAAACTTTTTTTGTTTTTTTTATATATATCTTTTTTTTTTTTGTTGTTGACCCAAAGATCATCTCCAGTGTGGCCAAGTGGAAACGCTGCGGTTAGAGGGTGGGCCACAGTGGCATTTCCTGTGGGAGGATATGTTTTGTGTGTTGCAGACAAATGATAAGGTTCATGATACTGTACATGCCCCCCCCCCACCCCACCGAAAAAGTGAAAGCCATTCTAATATTAAGTAGATGTAAGTAACTGTGTAACGTTTCTATTTTGTTTAAATATTTAACTAAAACTACTATTTTTGTTACAGTAAAGTCCAGATCATTTCCAGTTATATAAATTCCATTCAATGACATATCAATTTAACTTCTTTTATCTTCACTTAGCCTGTAGCCAACATCGAGGTCAGGGTATATTCAGTGATTGCATAAATGCTCTTCAGAATTTGAAGGTCATATTAAATTTGGTTGGTTTCCAGACATGAATTTGATGTCAATTCTATACAGAGGTTTTGACCAGTTTTGTTTGTTCTTGGTCAGTGTTTTTAAAATCCTGGTCTTCAAACCAAACTGCCCTGTATGTTTTAGATGTTTCCCAACTTTCACATACCTGATATCAAATGATAACAGTTTAACAGGCTTTACTGAACTGCATTCATCGGGATCTGCGCTGTGTTGAAGAGGAGAAACATCTAATGCATGCGGGACAGTGGGCCTTGAGCATCAGGGCTGAAAAACACTTTTGTAGATCATTGGATCACTTGGTTTTATCCAAGTCTCTACCAGTCAACTGCAGATATAAGGAAACCATTTATAATTATAAGGCAGTCCTTTGTCTCATTTCTTCAATCCACTGTGTACAGTGTATCAGTACCACTGGCACGATGCTGCTAGTTCCATTTTTTTTTTTTTTTTTTACAGTTTAACCTCAAGTTTAAGCCGTCCGTTCTTTTGCCTGATAATCTAAAATTTTCACTTTGTTCTATAGAGCAGGCATCCCCAACCTCGGTCCTCCAGGCCTGCTGTCCTGCAGGTTTTAGAGGTTTCCTTGCTCCAGCACAGCTGATTTTAATTGAAAGCTGATTAATAGGCTTTTGGTCTACTGCAATCATCATAATCAGCTGTGCTAAAGCAGGGAAACCTAATAAACCTACAGGACAGAGATGTAAAACCCTTCCCTGGTGTCACAGCATCTTACAGTTTATGATCAGCTTTTTAGTTTTGGATGTTAAGGATGTAATCCTAATTGTTGGATCCTATTTTCTTTGTTCAGCCTTTGGAAAATCACAACGGTAAACAGCGTAGGTTGATTGAGATGAGAACCCTGGGCGAGGTATACCCTGACCCTGAAATCCCACATCCTCTGCAACTGCCCCGCTACGCAAAGCCTACAGCCTCAGTGGTTCCTCCCATCTTGCTCCAATATAAGTTCCTTGGAGCTCGATGAGAGCATGCGTGATATTATCCAATCCAAATTTTTTTAAGAACTTACAAACAACCACAGCTGACCAAGTTCTGTACAGAATATGTG